GATCGCTTTCCATAGTACTCCTTCCTAGACAGTAGCTTCCCATTCTGTATGTGTGAAACTGTTTTTCCTTCCTAAGTGGAGTACTTTGCAGTTGTCCTTATTAAACTCCACCTATTTACCTCAGACCATTTTTCTAGTTTGTCCAGATCATTTTGAACATTGACCCTGTCCTCCAAAGCACTTGCAACCCCTTCTAGCTTGGTATCATCTGCAAACTTTATAATCATACTTTCTATGCCCTCATCTAAATCATTGATGAAGATATTGAACAGAACAGGTCCCAAAACAGACCCTGTGGAACCCCACTTGTTATGCCCTTGCAGCATGATAGTGAACTGTTAATAACTACTTTCTGAGAACGGTTATCCAGCCAGTTATGCACCCTCCTTATAGTAGCATCATCGAGGTTGCATTTTCCTAGTTTATTGATAAGTAGGCCATGAAAGATTGTGTCAAATGTCTTACTAAAGTCTAGGTGTATCATGTCCACTGCGTCTCCCTTATCCATAAGGCTTGATATCCTATCAAAGAAAGCTATCAGAATGGTTTGACATGATTTGTTCTTTACAAATTCATGCTGGCTGTTTCCTATCACCTTATTTTCTTCCAGACGTTTGCAGATGGATTCCTTAATTACTTTCTCCATTATCTTCCCTGGCACAGAAGTTAAACTGACTGGTCTGTAGTTTCCTGGATTAGTTTTAATTCCCTTTTTATAGATGGGCACGATATTTGCCCTTTTCTAGTCTTCTGAAATCTTTCCCGACCTCCATGATTTTTCAAAGATTTTTGGCTAAAGGCTCAGCTACTTCCTGTATCAGCTCCTTGAGTATTATAGGATGCATTTAATCAGACCCTAGTGATCTGAAGACATCTAACATTTCTAAGTATTTTTTAACTAGTTCCTTTTATATTTAACTTCTAAACCTACCCCATTTCCACTAGCATTCTCTATGGTAGGCATCCCGTCACCATCCATCTTCGTGATGAAAACTGAAACAAAGAAGTCATTAAAGATCTCTGCCATTTCCAAGCTTCCTATTGTTGTTCCTCTGTCTTCACTGAGCAATGAGCCTACCCCGTCTTTGGTCTTTCTCTTGCTTCCAATATATTGTAGAATGTCTTCTTGTTACCCTTCACGTCTCTAGCTAGATTGAGCTCGTTTTGTACCTTTGTCTTTCTAATGTTGCCCCTGCCTATCTGTGATGTTTGCCTATATTCATTCTTTCTTATTTGACCTAGTTTCTGCTTTTTATATGACTCCCTTTTGATTTTTAGATCATGTAAGATCTCCTGGTTAATCCAAGGTGGTCTCCTTCCATACTTTCTGTCTTTCCTACGCAGTGGAATAGGTTGCTTTTGGGTCCTTAACAATGTCCCTTTGAAAAACTGCCAACTGTTTTCAGTTGTTTTTCCTCTTAGCCTTGCTTCCCATGGGACCTTACTTACTAGCTCTCAGAGTTCACTAAAATCTTCCTCCCGAAATCCCTTGTCTCTGTTTTGCTGTTCTCCTTTCTACCATTCCTTAGAATGATGAACGCTATGGTTTTATGATCTCTTTCACCAAAGCTCCCTTCCACTTCCACATTTTCAACTGGTTCCTCCATATTTGTTAAAATCAAATCAAGAATAGCTTCCACCCTATTCACTTTCTCAGCCTTCTGAACTAAAAAATTGTCTCCAGTGCAGTCCAAGAACTTTTTGGATAATCTGTGCCCTGCTGTGATAATTTTCTAACATATATCTGAATAGTTGAAATCCCTTACCACCACCAATCCTGTGCTTTGGATGATTTTGTTAGTTGTTTAAAAAAAGCCTCATCCTTTTCTTCTTCCTGGGTAGGTGGTCTATAGTAGACCACTAGCATGACATCATCCTTGTTTTTTACCCCTTTTAACCTAACCCAGAGACTTTCAATATGTCTATCACCTATGTCCATCTCCACTTCAGTCCAAGTATGTACATTTTCAGTATGTAAGTCAACACCTCCTTCCTTTTTTCCGTGCCTGTTTTCCTGAGCAAGCTGTACCCTTCTAAACCAATATTCCAATTGTCTATTATCCCACCAAATCTCTGTGATAGCAACTACGTCATAGTTGTGTTTGTTTATTATGTCTTCAAGTTCTTCCTGCTTATTCTTCATACTTCTTACATTTGTATTTAGGCATCTAAGATATTGATTTGATTTTTGACTCTCAGTTCTGCCTTGCCCCTCCTTTATCACTGCTGTTATTGACCATGCTCCTTCCCATTTCTGAGCCATCTCCTAGGTCTCCATATTTTTCACCTCTCTCTTGGCTTTGGTCATCTGCCCCTAGTTTAAAGCCCTTCTCATTAGGTTAGCCAGTCTGTGTCCAAATACTCTGTTCCCCCTTTGTCAGTAAGTGAATCCCAACCCTGCTTAGCAGTCCTTCATCTTGGAACAGCATCCCATGGTCAAGGTGTTTCTTGTAAATCAAATCCAAGATTAGAATCTGCACATTTGTTTTGGTTGTGAGTTAGATCTATCTCCTCCAAATTTAGAAGATAAGCGTTTTGTTGGTTTTCGTTATAAATAATTGTTGCACTCTAGCAGTAATAGAAATTGCTGTGTTGCAAGGAAGAAGAAATGTTAAAAAATATAAACCAGTGTGTAACTGTTGGATATTAAAATAAATTGTTTAAAAGGGAGGCGGGTAGATTCCAGTTGAATGGTAGGGACAAATAGTGAAAAACAATCCTTGAATTTAATTTTAAAAGCCTCCAATAAGAAAAGGATTAAAGAAATGTTTTTGTACACCTGCACTCTGTCTACTGGGTACCAAGGGAAGCAGCAGAGAAACTAAGCTGTAGTCTGAGCACTCATTTGGCACATGTCCATTAGAAATCAGAAAATGGCCCCCTCCAACCAGTCTTGAAAATAGAATATATGAAACTGAAGTTACCATGTGCTCAAGAGGGTTGACTGAACCCGACAGAAGCAGCTGCAAAATCCTAAGTGCAACTGATACCTAAACCAGCTGGATAGAAAGGACCCTTCGTATCTAAGATTTTATATCCCCATATTGTCTTTAATATAAATGTCTATAGATTGTCTTGATGAGTCTTCACTCTCTAGTGACACCTAAAGTAGCAATATTTTAGGTTTTAACTTCTTTATAAGTCCAAAATGGACTTTGAATTCCTAAACAGTTGCTTTTAATATTCTAAGCTTGCTCTGTGTGGACCAGTCCTTTCAAAGTTTAATAACCACATTCTTAGAAGGGACTTTGAAGACACGTGAATCCTTGGAAGTATGATAAATGTGTGTGGAATTGAGAATTTATGACTATAAATAAATGGATAAGAATCTTGGTAATTTTCATTGTTTATATTTGACTGATGATTGTACTGGATGAATTGTTGGCTGGTTAACAATTAGTAAGTGTCTTGATTTGAGAAATACTGTTTAAGTTAAAAGTTGACTGGAAAAAAAACCCTCATGTTAAAACTAGTAAGCCAACTCTCACTGTACTCAATAAAAGGAGTTAGCCTTCTGGATTGTGTTATATAATGGTAAACCTATTTTGTTAGATTTCAGCTTTTAAAATGTACCTGGCACCTTAGCAAATTCATTGACCCCCATTCATGCTTATATAGCTATATCTTAAAAAATGGGGCTATTTGTGTTCAAATCAGTTTTTCCCTAAGTATGAGGCGTACTGCCCTGGTGGGGATGCAGAAGTCTACAGGGTATATGGACAGATATTTTTGGATGCACTCTAGGGTCTTAGCTCTCATGAAAAATGAAAAGTCTTTAGCTGTTATGGTAGTAAATACAATTTCAAAATGTGACTCCAGCGTAACTAAGGTAGTGATGTCTGTCCAAGTTTGCAAAGAAGCAGAAACAATAGCTCTGTAATAATTGTCCCATTCATTTCAGTGGGTGCTAACTCAGATGCCACCGATATTTTGTATGCCAACATCATTAACAATTTCATGGCTTATCAAAGCAGGTGAGAGAAGATAGGCTATGTCCTTGCATATAAATATAAAATCTGGCTAGAGCTTGAATAACTGATAGTGTGATTGAAAAGGGACATGATTGGTTTTGTTTTCCTGAAGGGGCTCAGTAGTCAAAACTTTGGCAAATGCTGGTTTAAAGTAGGTATGTTAAGTAGTGGTTAAGCTAATTGAGTAGTCAATGGAATTTCCATCTACTACTCAGTCAGTAAGGGGGTTAGCTCCCGGGGGACCCAGTGCGAGCTGGGACTGAGCAATCTTGTCTCGCACTGGCTCCAGGACTACTGCGGCTTTGCTTTTAAAATGTAGTAAGTGTTACCATGCTCTTACTACATATACAAGTAGGGGACCCAGGGAGAAATTAGCAGAGATTGCTCAGTCCCAGCTCCTGCTGTGTCTCCCCTGCCCTTCTGCGAAGATGGTGATGGAAGGGGGGGGCGGGGAACTGGCTTTTGAGATGGCTCTCCCCAGCACTGACTCCTGCTCCCCCCCCTTTGCTGCCTCTGATACAGGGTCAGTGGGGCAGCAGAAGCAAGTAGTTGAGTAGTGACTTGACTAGTCACCTACATTCCTAGTTTAAAGTGTGAGCTATCACTGATTAACTTAACTCTCTGTTTCTTTCCAAATAAGTCTTGTCCCCAATTTTCTCTTTTAGTTTCCTTATCCTTTCCATGAGCCTCCCTTTCCCACCTGATCCCCATGTATTCAGAACCCTGTCTTCCTCTTACTCTGACATTTCCCAGCTCTTGTACCTCTTTCCATGTGGCCAATCCTCTTTTTTTCTAGTACTTCTGTTTCCACTTCTTCATTTAGTTATCCCTTTTGTTTATGGTATGCTTTTGAAACATTCTGGCATTGTCCTCTCAGGTATGGCCTCTAGCAACATGGGTGCAGCCACGTTAATACTTCCAACTATAAAACAACCATAGTATTTTTGGAGGAATTTTAAATGAATATTTGGATGGCCTGAAAAAGGGAAGGGAAGATAAGTAATCGCTTTTTTTTTCCTTTCTACTAAGTGTCAGAGCAAGTTAACACTGCTAGGAACAGAAATACTTCCAGAATCTGATGCTCAGGTAAGTCCATCTTTTATGTGCTTAGTGTCCAATTTTTAGTTTTCTATCAGACAAATACCAATTATCTTACTTTTTAGATATAGACTAACATTCTTCACTTACGCTATTCAGAGTTGTCGTCTACTTTATCCTTTCTTTATAGTTTCTGAGTTTGTCAATCATGTGTGAACTTTTTACTCTCTAAATATAGTCTTATCTAGCAATTGCAGGAAAATTGTGTGTTAAATTTATTAGATTGGTTATGGGCAAAACTAGCCCAGTGACTGACTATTTAATGTTATTCCTAGCAAAATATGTGAATAAGCATGTCCTTCTTATAGGAATGTAAAATCCTGTTTAATTAGTTAGTTTTTTAACTGGTTAACTGAATAGATGGGGGCAGCCTGCAGGCCGGAGTTGTTCCTGCCCACGCCAGCTCCCTGCCCTCACTGGGAGTTGGCAGCCTCGCAGGGGGCCGGAAGCGGCGAGGTCAGGGGTGCTGCCATCTCCCAGCCCGCATGGGTTGTGAGACAACAGCCATCTCCTCTCTGTCCTGTGTTTTTATTCATTTAATACATGTACTCAGATGTTACCTAGGTAACAAAGGTAACTTTTAAGGAAATAGAGATCAAAAGGTGACCTCTCTATCAGGGTAGCCCCTGTTTCTGAAGATGCAGGCACCCTTTTTCTGTATCTGTTGCTGGTGTGCTGGAGTACTCCCTCAGTGCACCCGCCTAGAGTGATATGGAAGTAATAAAGGACACTCTAGGTAAGTGTCCCATTCCCTGTGCCTCCACCGCACTCTGCTACCCCTGATCCCTGTATCCCTCTGGCTCTGTGCCTCCGGTTCCCCGCGCCACCCCTGTACCCCCCCCTCCCACTGTTCCCTGCACCCCTCTGGCTCTGTGCTGTCTCTGCACCCTGCTCCCCCTGTGGGTCGGGAGTGAAGGGTGGTTGCCCATAGGGAGAGGCTGGACAGGACAGGGAAAAGGCTGCTGTGACCCAGCAGCGAGTGAAAGGGGGAGTTCACTTGAAGCGCCTTTGCCTTTATGGAAAAAAAAATGAAAATGCTATCTGTTATTTATAGGGCTAAAATGCAGGGACAAAAAAGAAAACAAACAAAAAAAAACTCATTGCAAAATGCAAATGTGTAAAAGACAACAACAAAGGGGGGGGGTAGGGGACAAAAAATGTTTTGCTTGGGGCAGCAAAAAACCTAGAGCTGGCCCCTGGGGAGGGGAAGGGGCTGGGCTGGGCTGTGGGTAGGGTAGGGGAGGGGAAAAATATGGGGAAAGGGCTTGTGCTAAGGGGAGGAGGTCAGGAGAAGAATAATAAGAAGAAAGTGGAAGGCACCAAGGGACAGGGGTGCAGGAGAGACAAATGCCAGGGGGCCAAGTGCAGACAATGAGGACAAGGGCAGGAGGGGAGGTGTCAGTGGGAGGGGGGGACAGGGTGATGCTGGGAGAGGAGCGGGTAAGGGCATTGTGGATTGGAGGGGGAGGTGCTGGGGGAAGGCTTGAAAGAAGGGGTGGGCATGAGGAAGGCGGGGATGGAGCAAAGCATCTGTGAGGGCACAGGGGCAGGAGGGGAACAGGGGCAGAGGGTGGTGAGGGGTGGGCATCAGGGAAAAAAGGGCAAAGGGGGCAGGAGCAGTGAGAGAAGGGGGAGGCATCAGGAAGGTGCAGGGGTAAGGGAAGGTGCAGGTGCCAGGGG